GGGGCCATGTATCGTGAGATTTTGAGTGAAAACCTCCTTCCATCAGCAAGGGCATTGAAGATGAAACGTGGCTGGGTCTTTCAGCATGACAATGATCCCAAACACACCGCCCGGGCAACGAAGGAGTGGCTTCGTAAGAAGCATTTCAAGGTCCTGGAGTGGCCTAGCCAGTCTCAAGATCTCAACCCCATAGAAAATCTTTGGAGGGAGTTGAAAATCCGTGTTGCCCAGCGACAGCCCCAAAACATTACTGCTCTAGAGGAGATCTGCATGGAGGAATGGGCCAAAATACCAGCAACAGTGTGTGAAAACCTTGTGAAGACTTACAGAAAACGTTTGACCTCTGTCATTGCCAACAAAGGGTATATAACAAAAGTATTGAGATTAAATTTTGTTATTGACCAAATACTTATTTTCCACCATAATTTGCAAATAAATTCTTTAAAAATCATTTAACTCATTTTGTCTCGCATAGTTGATGTATACCTATGATGAAAATTACAGACCTCTCTCATCTTTTTAAGTGGGAGAACTTGCACAATTGGTGGCTGACTAAATACTTTTTTCCCCACTACTGCAGTCATACTCTTTTACTGCAGTTATATCTAATCAAATGCACATTATTATTCGTTAGTTTGGGTTAAACAAATCATTTTTGCTTGGTTGGAACAGCAGCTACGCTAATTATGTTTGTATTTGTTTCTCTGTTTCTGCTGGGATTAACATCCCGTGGTAACTAGGATTTACACAAGCTTCAGTCTGGATCCAGAACACCTGAGAAGAGATGATGCAAGCCCTCAGAGGACCTCAGATGATGCCAACCCTGAAACAACATCCAGAACTACCACATTTTGCTATAAGTTTGATTGCATCATATAATAATTGCTGTTAATATTGTTCATCGTCTGTTTTATTACGTCTTATATTGATTTTTCTGTACTGCTGGTTCGTCTGGTCAGAGGAGAACTGGCCCCCCGCCTGAGCCTGGTTTCTCCCAAGGTTTTTTCTCCATTCTGTCACTGATGGAGTTTTGGTTCCTTGCCGCTGTCGCCTCTGGCTTGCTTAGTTGGGGACACTTCATTTCCAGCGTTATCGTTGACATAATTGCAAAGATATTATTTAAACTGAACTGAGCTGGATGTTGACATCACTGAATTCAATGATGAACTGTCTTTAACTGAAAAATGAGTGTTTACTATTGTCACTTTGCATTATTGACACTATTTTCCTAATTAATGCTGTTCAGTTGCTTTGTCACAATCTGTATTGTTAAAAGCGCTATATAAATAAAGGTGACTTGACTTGACTTGACTTGACTTATACAAACCAGACCTCCGTGGACAAACCAGTATTGCGAATAAGAACATTTCCTTTAGGTATTACATGGAGTGAAGATGAAAACAAAATGCCATCGAATCATTTCTGAAGACAGTCAGAACCTTCAGAGGTACAATCATAAAATTCATATACTGTATATATTAATTTGTATAATTCCCTTAGCACTCTTTTAAAACCTCCCAGCTTTTTCCGACCTGTTTTCACTCAAAACTAAACTACTCTGCGCGTTGTGTGCACGTGACACTGTTACTTAAAACTGTGCTTTATGCTGGACAGTATTTATTTATCGCGAGTTGTTCAAATTGCGGTAATCTAATATGGTTTTAATGATAATTAAAAGATGACACGGTAATACTAACCATGGGGAATATTATCATGATTAATCGTTACATCCCTAGTTTAGATCCTACCTGTCTGACTGTTACCACTTTGTTGTTTTTAAACGGGAAATCATCTCAATTAATGCCAGTAAAGCATGGAGTGCCACAAGGATCTGTCTTAGGCCTTCTGCTATTTTTAATATACATGTTGCCACTTGGTAATATTACAGAAAATATTAATTTCCATTGTTATGCTGATGAACCTCAACTATACGGTACATTTCAACAAGACCAGATGAAACTAATGAATTATCTAAGCTAACAGAGTGTATTAAAGATGTAAAAGTTTGAATGACCAATACATTTCTCCAAATAAATTCAGATAAGTCAGAGATATTACTTATTGGACCAAGAAACAGTACACAGAATCTCTTCACAATTTGCATCTAGAGGAATGCACTGTTACTTCCTCTACAGTCAAAAACTTGGGTGCTATATTAGGCAGCAAATTGTCTTTTGAAAATCATATTTCACATGTAACAAAAACAGCATTCTTCCATTTTAGAAACATTGCCAAGCTATGTGGAGTTCTTACCAGGTCAGGAAAATATGATCATATTACCTCAAATTTACAATCTCTACACTGGCTAGTGGCTACATATTACGATATGTATCAGTTATAACATACTGCTACTTACTTATAAGGTCCTAAATGGTTTAGCTCATGCCAACCCTGAACCAACATGCAAAACTATCAAATTGTCCTTGCATTACTATAAGTTTAATCACAACTCTTAAACGCTGTTAATCGTGTTCACCATTTCTTTTTGAATACATTTAATTAACTAACTGTATGATTTTTACTATCCTAGAACCATACATTTCTGCCATAGTCACCACTGATAAACTACTCCTAAATGTACTGTAAACTCCTAAACTTACATTTTCTGTGAAGCCACTTTGCAACAATGTGTATTGTGATTATCATAAGTATTATCATTATTATTATTATTTGTAAAAATGTAACTCTTTACTGTCACTTATGATCAATTTAATATGCCCTTGCTGAACATTAATTTCTTTCATAATTTTAAAACTGTAGGGTTTTCATATTTTGGTGATATAGTGATATACATGCATACATATACATTTAATATAAATAATAATAATATATATAATATCTCCACCAAAATTTACTGAACAAGAAAATGTAATGATCATAATCCTTCCAAAATGAAAGTCTTCCTCATTCTTTAGATATGCAGAATACTGGTCACATAACAATGCTCTTTGTTTTGGCCCACTCAGAGCAGCTGACACCAGCTCAGAACACAATCACAGCCCAATGTCAGCGCCACCCCACACTCACAGACTTCATCAGATCTGCTGGAGCTTATCAGTTTACTATATTCAGCCAATCTGCATTGTCTTAAAACATACATTACACAAACACAAATTAATGTCCTCATTTCCTGACCTATATTTAAACTAACATGATCAATAACTTCTGCCTCTTCATAGTTAACAACAATAAAATAACAAACATGTGCATAACTGCCCTGGAGTCATAAAACAAATGGCACCAAAACAAATGAAACAGACGTGGTCTGTTCCCAGTGGCGGAAGTGCCAATACCACCAAGAAAGCTTTTTATAACTTGCATTTGTTGTGTTTTCTAGGGTGGGACAAAGGCTTATTGTGTAAGGCATTGTGCTGAACACACAGGCAGTGTATGAAGTGTGCCATAGGGCTGTTTGCCCACTCACTGCATCAATACTAGACTGAGAGCTTCTGTGCACAAGATGATCTATAAAAACACATACAAACTCACCTTTAAGGGATTTTGGCATGGCATGGGCCACACTGTACTCTCAACAGAACAAGGTCAGGAGCACCAAAACTGATATTCAGATATTTGTCAAATATACCTGGACATTGGTGAGACATCATCTTGCTCTTTTTCCACAGTGATGCATGTCTCTGAAAATGCTTCCCTCCAGAACGGGTGAGATAATAAAGGGTCCCAGCTTAACCTACAGATGACAGGAATATAGGAGATCCACAGATGAAGCTACAGTGCCAATGTAATGTGACAGGTTCAATGGTGTGGAAGGAATGAATGTTTTCATTGCAGGTCACATCATTCATGGTCTCTGAGCAAAAGTCTGAGACTATGAATTGCATAATTTATTTGGAATTAAAGAGATTATTTGGTGTCTATCATTGCACTGTCTAACTCATATTCATAAGTCTCCTGACTACAAGCAAGAAAAATTATTGGATTAACACTTCCTTAACTAAGACGAGACTGAGTAAAATAAATGTTTTACCTTTTCACAGGGTCTTTCTGAAGTAAACCCATTACTAGGCTCTCAAACTCTGGACTGGGCTGTGAGAAAGCAGGTTCTTAAAAAGAAAAAGAAAAAGAAAAAAAAGTATGTAATTAAATGTTTAATAAAAGGAACACTTAAAACAGTACAATATCTTTAAGCTGAGGTGTCAGACCTTTTTGTCTTAGGGGTGGAGGACCTTCATTTAAAATGAGATCAGCTAGTCCGGTCATACTCTCAGAGACAAAGGGTGGTTTTCCTAGGAAACAAAAAAGACAATGAGACAAAATCAATCTGACCAGAAAGTATTTTGCGAAGGCAAAAGCTGTGGATTAAGATAAAATGAGTAACCTGTGAACATCTCATATAGGATGCAGCCTAAAGCCCACAGGTCACTGCAGACACTGGTGTCTGCTCCTCTCAGCACCTCAGGAGCACAATACACAGGAGAACCTGCCAGAGCAACATCTTATGACAAATCATACAAGCGCTTCAAACTGACTTCATGTAAGATCTGGATCATATTAGATAGATGACTGATAGAAAGCAACGAATTTAGCTGACCTTTAATTCTGTTCTTGATGTTTTGTGGAGAGATAATATTCTCCTTGCTGTCTCCAGCTCCCATCTCCTCTGCCATCACAAGAGAGAAGAACTCCTCCAGACATTCTCCTTGAGCCTTGGCCAGGCAGAAATTAGAGTACTTCAGAGTTCCTGGTCCATCCAACAAAATCTGTGAATACACAGGTGCATTAGCTAGGGTTGAAAAAAAGAAAACGCCAAAAAAAGACGACTATTGGCATATAAACTGAACCTTTCCTCTCATGTGGCTTAGTGTTTGTTTAAATAACAAGGAGTAGTTATTTTATTTATACAGCACTTTTCGAACCTCAAAATTGCTTGTAGAAAAAAAAAAAAACAAACATAAGAAAAAAACAAACATCTTAAATAAAAGACAGATGCTTATACCTTTGCAGGTGTGAGATCCGAGACAACAATGCCAGAGTCGTGGATGTATTTAAGACCTTTCATCAAGTCGATGGAAAACTCTCGCACTACTTCTTCAGACAGGCACTCATCTTGAGCAACCAGCGCTGCCAGGGATCCACCTAGAAGAAAATGCAATTGCAACAAAGGTAAAACCACACAAAATGATCAAAACATAAGCATTAAGCATAAGCATTTCAATACCTAAAAAAGCAAGACGGGGGTTAAAGCAGACTTAGTACACAGATAAGAGTGTATTACATTTTTTAGGGATCTCACCAGTTTTACTTTGGTATCATTGGGCTACTATGTCTTATTAATATTTAAATAATAATAATTATTATTATTATATTTTGTTTTGATTTGATTTTAAGTTATAGCCATTTCTGTTTTTATAAATTGTGTTATTTGTATTTTAAAAAAAAAACACAAATCTTTTTTATTTATCGATTTGTTTATTTGTTTTTACTATAACAATCCTGGATCTCACCTGTGCACATCTCCACCACCAGCCACAAATGGTTGCTAGTCTCATACCATTCATAAAAAGACGCCACATTGTCATGCTTAATGTCATGAGCAAGTCTCACCTGTGGAGATAATGTGACATTTATCAAACACAAGAGTACAGTGTGAGGCAACCTCTCTGATGTGCATGAAATATATTGCTCAAAACAAATATCGCGGTTACACACATGGTTTGTGAGTTCAGGTCTCTTGGATTTGTCACTGCAGATGATAGCCACGAAATGTATGCTGCCTTTACTTCTCCCCTTATAAACCACCGTTCTGTTACCTCTCCCGATCTCTTCATACAAAATAAAGTTCTCCATCTATGCAGTGATGAAAACATGGACATTAAAGCCAAAACAACACACGTGCCAGTTTTGAAATTCAGTTTTTAGATGCATGAGAATCAACTAAACACACCTGCAGAGACTCGCGTGAGCTCACAGGCAGTTTACTGCACTAACTACTACTAACAACTTCCTGACCATAAGGACACTACGCAAGTTCAATATTTCAGACACGGAGCGATTAACAGCATATTTTAAACATTTCCCGCTTCTTTTGTAATATTTTAACAATATATATTGGGCTTAAATACGACGTAATTGTCTTTTGCATAAGTTTCCTTACGCGCGGTAGAAAACTGACAAACGGAAACACCATTAGAAGCGAAACCAACTCGCACGAGGGGAAGTCACCTCAGTCGTAAAATCAAACCGTTTAAAAATATCAAGTTTGAATTTGAATTTAATTTTTACTTAAAAGCTGTATCCGAAATGTTAAATCTGCGTATATATAAAATACCCACATGCATTTTTCTCATCTGTTTTTAACGTTGCAGACAGTATTCCTACACCCCTACTATTGGACGGTCCCTCGTTGCTAGGATACGGAAGAGGACGCATTGTTAAGTTTAGGAATCGGAAACGGGTTCCACTGAGCATGCGCACCCGAATCCTAACCTTATCCTGTTACATACACCTGCTTCTTTATTTTTATTGTTGGCATATACATTTTTGCTAAATCTTTACTATTATGTAACCATTAAACATTTAGCAAAATAATAATAATAATAATAATAAATAAAGAAGCAAATTGGGTTTGAATGATATTGAATAAATTAGGAAATTGAGGAAGGAAATAGGCTATTGATTTAAATGATATATGAATTAGGATATTGAGGAAGGAACCTATGTGTGTGCAGTGGACTTAAATGTTCATTCATTATTTTCTAAAAGTTTGTTTGATTTTATTCTTTTGCATTTTATCTTGTTGTATTTTGCAGTTATGACTTAGCTTCCTTTTTTTCTGCCACTGCGCTGTGCAAAACAATCATACCAATAAACTAGCCTATTCTTAAAACTAAAATTAAATGTACAGTATTTGATCATAAAGAGAATGAATAAAAAGAGGGGAAAGGATGGGGAGTGGCGTGACGCTGAGAGAGAGAGAGAGAGAGAGAGAGAGAGAGAGAGAGAGATCGTGTAGCATGTGATACCGGCTTTTCAGATGAGATTCTGGGCATCATAACGTCCCTAGAGTTGGGAAGCGCACATCTTCTTTATTTGTCCTTCTTGCGCCCAGAGCTTCGTTGAGGTGAATTACAGATGTTCAGATCTGCTAAAAACAGAGATATCAAACTGGACAGGATCGCTGTGCTACTTTTCATACAGCAAGCAGGTCTATTGAAAGGGAGCCGGGGATCACTGGCTTTGTTCTCGGATTATTGCGAAATAATGTCAACTACGTCGTAAAAAGTTTGTCGGTTAAACAGCCTACCGAATAATTTGCTTTAACTAGCTGCTTTGGAAAAAAACAGGATTGTCTTCAACGACTTTTCAAGTAAGCCTGCATCCCATCTGGACTATTTATTTTTGCCTAAAGGACAACATTCATCTTATGGTAAGATATCATACATCCTTATAGCTACACAAACACCCACATCGCCTTTGATAAATATGCTTAGCCAGTGCAAATGACCAACATTGTGTATTAAGGCTGCCTAATAGCCTACACCTCCAGGTTGTGTCCCAAAATAGTGAGCTGCCTACACTCTAAAAAATGCTGGGTAAAATATAACCCAGCACTGGGTTAAAAATGGACAAACCCAGCTATTGGGCCCAGCTATTGGGTTGTTTTGACTCAGCGGTCGGGTTGTTTTGAAAACAACTGCTGGGTCAAAGCTACCCAATAGCTGGGTTTGTCCCTTTTTAACCCAGCGCTGGGTTATATTTACCCCAGCATTTTTTAGAGTGTAGCTAGGCAGCTGACCGGAACTTGCCTAATGATGGCCTAACGTGCTGCACGCGTTTTTGAAGCCGGCTTGTTTATAAAGTAGTGCATACACTTGTAGCTGTTATGTATCTTTGTAAGTCATTGTAAGCCCTCTTTTGAGGCATGCGCACGAACATCCCCCAAAGTCCACAGTATAGTTCGAACACTGGATACCCTATACAAGCAGATGGAAAAAAGTTCAAGACCCCTTGGTCCCACTATTTTGGTGATGATATCACACAAGTCATGTGCCCATCAAGAGGACAGGGTTACTGCCCATGCAAAAATAAACATGATGAAACATAAGAGGTAAAAAGTTTATTTGCAAGTCAGTGATCCAAAATCATCTGATGTCATATTGTATAAATTCCACTGATTTATAATGTTGACAACTGAATATAGTGAATACATAGTGTTCTGAGTCTGACTGCCATGTCTCATAAAATATCAAGTTATTTTCACAGCTGTATCCCAAAGGTGTGCTGATGTCAGATCAGATTTAATCTGTCACTCATGTACTAAACTTCAGAATATCAGTGCTTATGCTCTGCTCCTGTGTGCTGTGTTGCACTGAGGATCGTGTAGAAACCTGAAGTGAAGCAGAAAGTGCATGATTTCTAATCCTACAGACTACATCCTTGCCGAATTTCTTCATATTGCATAATAGCATCATATGCCTGAATATAAGAATGTCTCTCTTTTGTTTCATAGTCGTATGAATCGCAGACAGCTGGGTCCTACCTAGAGACCAAGAAAGCATATAAAGAGAGACCTATAAGTGCACTCTTTCCTCCAGGGTTATTTGTTTCTGCATGTGATGAGCACGTGTGCTTGAGTTCATGCTGTAACAGCTGAGATGGTTTATTGTGCTCATATGTCATGTGTCCTCTCACATAGAGGTCAAGCTCTCTTTCGCTCACAATAACTATAAAAAATAAACATGATGAAACATAAGAGGTAAAAAGTTTATTTGCAAGTCAGTGATCCAAAATCATCTGATGTCATATTGTATAAATTCCACTGATTTATAATGTTGACAACTGAATATAGTGAATACATAGTGTTCTGAGTCTGACTGCCATGTCTCATAAAACATCAAGTTATTTTCACAGCTGTATCCCAAAGGTGTGCTTCATATTGCATAATAGCATCATATGCCTGAATATAAGAATGTCTCTCTTTTGTTTCATAGTCGTATGAATCGCAGACAGCTGGGTCCTACCTAGAGACCAAGAAAGCATATAAAGAGAGACCTATAAGTGCACTCTTTCCTCCAGGGTTATTTGTTTCTGCATGTGATGAGCACGTGTGCTTGAGTTCATGCTGTAACAGCTGAGATGGTTTATTGTGCTCATATGTCATATGTCCTCTCACATAGAGGTCAAGCTCTCTTTCGCTCACAATAACTATTGCTTTCTGGGTGCTTGGATTTTTGAAAATTCACACTTGAAAATATTAGATGACAAAAAAGAAGTGACTTGATCTTTTGACCTTTTTTGTATTCCTGGTGTGGGAATAGTTTCTTTGCTCTTGTCTTCTCTGACTTATTATTATAATTTTTTTTTTTTAAACGATGATGGTGTTGCTTTCATGTTTTAAAATGATTTTGAGTGACATGTAGGGATGTGCGATATTGACAAAAAATAATATCTCTATATTTTCTGGGATTTTATCGATGACGATAATTAGACAATATTTTGCTGAGTGTGTTATTGTGCTGGTATCATAAGGACTGCCGTGGACAGCTGACTCCTAAAGTGTTTGATATTCTTCATATTCTGTGTTCTGGTCAGTTTACACTTATATAAATTAATCTTTTCCAATAAGTTTAAACTTATTTTTACATTTTATGGGCATTTTTACCTTTATAAAGCCATTTTTTCTAAAAGTGTCCGTTATCTTTTGAGTCAGATTCTTACATTTAATCAGTGAATTAGAATAATAATACATTTGGGCTGTTACCAAGCAAATGAAATCAACACAGAAGCTGCATCTGAAGTGGCATTTAGATGTATTTACACACTGTTTAATGCAAGACATGAATACAAATGCATAAATAATGTTTTGATATATTAAACAAACGTTGAATACTGACATTTGAATTTATTTAAATATTAAAAGATACTTTGAATGTGAAATTAAAACCGCCAGTAGGTGGCAGCAAGTCACTGTTAATAAGTGAGTCATTGCGATTGAACAAATCGTTTAAATGGTTGATTCATTCAGGAACAAAACAGTGTCATGTAGCTTAGAGACGCAAAACAGAGCTGTGGCTGTGTTTGGAATTATTTTGTTGTCGAAATAGCGCAAAAACAGGCAATATGGTGTCTAAAACATAAGTCTCTTAATTAACTTCTAGTTTATTGAACTGTTGTAAAAAATCACATTTGCAGTCATGGTAATATTTGGAGACAAACGGCACTCTTCGTGTGAAATTGATGATTAACTATATGAAATGGTATAAATGTATACATTTTCTGCCATCATGTCTTGAATTTGTGATAATTCTAAATGCATTTTAATAGACAGAATCATGCAGTGAAAGTACGCATTATAAATGCGCTTCACGTATTGTATGCGTGCGCTCTGTAGGGCTGTTTTGAATGGTTTTTGCTAAATACTCGATAATGTCAAATCGCACATCGTTAAAACAACAATTACGATATGATCGCAGACGATATATATCGCACACCCCTAGTGACATGCACCAATATTCAAATTCTAGTGATTCATATGCCAATAAATACTTTTTGACCAATAACAAATACATTTTAAATTTGACAATTTTCTGCTCTTTGGTATAAATCTATTTAAAAATGATACACAAAAAAATTGTTTTTAAATGCTACAAGTGAATTTAGTCATCACAACAATGTGAAAAATTTATATTCATTTTGAAGTTGGCTAGAAATTACATTTAACAGTGCTATTAAATATATATATATATATATGTATATGTGTGTGTGTTTTTAAATATTAACTTTAAGTGAGCGTTAGATGTTGGTAAAGGTGATCTAAAAGTAAAAATAGGGTAAATGCGTGTGTAATTAAATATCCAATATTTGCAGATAACTGATAAATACAAATAAATATTATAATTTTTGCCTGATCTGTATATCAATATATCATGCATCCCTAATGTAAATGATACTGTTTGTAAGGGTTGTTTATTTATTTTTACCCATTTGTTTGTCCATTTGCAGACGCATCAAATACATCATGTAAATGCATTTTCGATTTCTTGTCTTTGATTCCCGGATTACGAGACATAGAATTTTTCATAACCTGTTTGGTACAGACATCTACATTTTAATAATGAGCTACTTTTTAATAATATAAGCAATGTAACTGATAGCCTAGGCAA